CCTGGGGGTGAGCCACAGCCCCCTCCCCAGCCCCTCGCCTCCAAAGGGCTGGTTCACGCTCTGTGCCTGCTCGTAGCAGAGTTCTTTTTAGATTGGGCTTCACTGGGTGAGCGGCTGGCACCCAGCAAGCAGGAGGATCCGAAGTCAGAATGAGAAACACGATAAATTTTTAGGATTGCTCTTGAGAAGCGCCCAAAGGATTTTTAGAAAGCCTGCGGCCGGGCCGTCCTCAGGTTTTCTTGGTCACTCAAGCAGAGAGGACGGGCTCCTTCCCTCCTGTTCCAGGGAGAGGCGCCTGTTCCCAGGCTGCAGCAGCAGCAGTCGGACCTGGCACGCTTTTTTTTTTCATCTTCTGTTTTCAGTTCAGTGCAGAGCAATTAGTGTTCGAAACCCAAGGACAAGCTTCCCATAAGCCTTGCCCTCGCACGTTAAAAAATCACATCTTTTCTTGCTACTTCATTGGTTCAGTGCTAAAATGAAGCTGTAAGTGCTTCTTTCTTAGGGCCCTCCCTGTCTTTTGCAGGTTAGGAGGAATAGTCAGATCCCTTCCGATGTAGCTGAAGGATGCAGTAGTATGCTCTTGTGGGCTGGAAGTGGCACTACGGTATAAAAAAATCTATTCTTAGCACACAAATTATATCAAGGATGATTAACTGTAGAAACAAACTAACCAGGGGAATTGCAGCTTCCCCTTTCCAGGAGTCTCAGTTCAAGACTACGCGTGTGTCACAGGGGCTCAGGGGGGTCGTGTTATGTGGCCTCAGTTCTGCAGATGGTGGGATTAAATTGTCTCACCATCTCTTTGGTTTAAATCTGCAAAAGCATCTTCACACTGTCACTGACTCGTTCCTTCTCATGAGCAGTGAGTTTAAGCCATTCTCCTTCCCAATGTGCCTTGAGATCTGAGAGGGAAAATTGAGCAAAACTATTTCCAGACCTGGAGAAATAACGTTTCACGAGCTGAAGTCCCCGGCCTCTCTGCTTCTCCCAGGAAACACCGGCGTTGTGGCTTTCCCCGGCTAACACCCGCTGCTCTGACCTGCTCTCTCTCGTGCAAGCTGGCCGAGACATGGATGGCCTGATCCTTCCCAGCTTGCTGACGGGTTTGCAGGTCACTGCTGGTGGCCAAGCTGGTCACTGCTGGTGGCCACGTGTCCGCAAGCTCTGCCGATTGGTTTTCAGCTCTTTTAGTGGCTCTAACACAGGACGGTGCTGGTACCTGCAAACCCCGTCTCGCCGGTGGCTGTGGACACCACAGCTCTGCAGCAGCGGCGCTCTGGCAGATTGGCCGTGCCCTTGCAGCAGCCGTGCGTTTTGAAGAATCTGGTTTTCCAAATTCGACGTAATTTCTGAAGTGCCACCTTCTGCGGTGTCGCAGGTCGCACACAGCCCCGCTGCTCAGACCAGCCTCTAGCCCAAAACTCGCTTTACGCCGACGCTCCATCGTGGTCACCTTCAGCGTCCCCTGCGGCTCTGCCACGTTCCTCCTTACCATTCCCAGGGAGACATTTGTGAAGCTTCAGTTTTCAGGCCCCGGCATTCCCAGCCTGCCGCTGATGGGGTTTATTTCACCCAACTTGTGGCTGCTTTCTGAAAAGGGGTGAATGTCCTCAGCCTGGGAGGAATGAGATTTGATAAAATTGATTTTTAGTTTTCAGAAAGCCTCACTGGGACCTGGTGGAGTGGGGTTACAGCCGGGAAACTTTTCAAGAAGTGCGCACTTTACGTGTAGTCGTTCTTCTTTTTTGAATAAAGCACCAAATTTACGTTGAACTGTGTGTGTAAGGCCCGGCCGCCCTCAGAGCTTCCCGTGCACTGTGGGAGCGGGACAGTCGCTCTCTGGTGCCGCTTCTGGGACCCCGTGACAGGTTGTTTCTACTGAAGCAAGCGGCAGAACTTCAGTCACGGCCTTAGAGTCGTAGAATAGTTTCAGCTGGAAGAGACGTTGAGGATCGCTGAGTCTGGCCTTTGTCCCAGCCCTATCAACCCACTAAACTATGTTCCCCAACACAACATCCACCCATCTCTTATACACCTCCAGGGACAGTGACTCAATCACCTCCCTGGGCAGCCTGTTCCAATGCCTGACAACCCTCTCAGTAAAGAAATTCTTCCTAATATCCAA